CTGCTATTCTGAAGCTTGTCTCATGTTTTTTTAGATAAGATGAATCTATCTAATTGAGTCATGAAAACTTCGTCTTTAAGAACACCATTTAGAAATGTTGTTTTCACATCCATGTGATGTATAGTCCAATTATTAGTAGTTATTAGGCTTATAGCAATTCTAATTCTAGACCACTTAATAATAGGAAAAAAAAAACCTTAGTGAAATCTATACTTCTTCTTTGTTCAAATCCTCTTGCAATTAACTTTGCCTTCTTCTTACTAGGTTGGTTGTTGATTCCAGGTTTCGACTTAGATATTCACTTCAATGATATAGGACGTTGCCCTTAAGGTAATTCTTCCAATGTTCAAGTGTTATTATTTTTACAATAAAGTCTATTTCTTCTTTCATTGTTTTTTTCCTCCCTAGATCATTAAAAGCTTGTGTGAAGTTGATATTTTCACCTTGTGAGTTGGTCTCTTCAAACTTTGTAGAATGAGTATTAAAACTTTTTAAATTTAATTGACACAAGTCATAATCTTTAATTGAGACATAAATAAAATAATTATCTAATTTGATGTTTGTTTTCCTAGATCTTTTGGATTTGCAAATAAGAAGGGTGATTTAAAGAAAAGAATCAAGACCTTGTTCACCAATACCAATTTGATCTATTATTCTTAGTATTGAAATGCTTTTCATAGACTCATTCTTTTGTACATTTTCTATACATACTATTATTGTCTATCTAGTAGAAGGTGGGCTAGGAGGTTATTTAATTATATCATCAAATAGTATATTTTAGTTAATGAAAAAAATCAAAACTTCTTTTTAATAATGGAAGTAGGATAAAATAAATTTTGGATCAAATTTTTCTTTGTCCAAGATAATATCTCTAAAAATAATTATCTTTTATTTAAAAGAGTCATAATAATGATATGCTTCATTTGTTATTGTAGTAGCCTATGAATAAAGCACAATTTCTTTTTAAATCTAACTTATTTTTGTAAATTGAAGGTGTATGGTAATAAGTCACACAATCAAAAAATTGTAACTAAGATAGGTCATGCTTATGTCCAATAAATGTTTTATTTGGACTAAATATCCTAAAGCTTTTGTCAAAGATCTATTTTGTATATGATTCACAATTTTTAGAGCTTCCTCCTACATATAGTTAGGTACTTTTGTTTCAATATTAATGCTTTTTACTCTTCCTAAAATGCACCTATTTTTCTTTTTTGCTAGGCTATTTTATTAAAGACAATAGGGTGAAGTAAATTCTCTTCTAATCTCATCTTATTTGCAATAGCTTTGAAAATTTTTAGATATATATTCACCTCTACAATTTTCTATTAATCAATCTAATTTCTGCTCGAGTTTTCTACAAGTGTTTTGAATTCTTTGAAGATGTTCAACATTTTCAAATTCTTTTATAAAAAAATATAATCAAGTCTTTTGGACATAATTATAAATTAATATTAAATTAAATTTTTTATGATTTTCTAACAAAATAGGTAAAGGATCACATAAACTTCAAGGTTTTTATACAAATTTTCAAAAGTCCAAAAAGAATTCTTCAAACTTTAGTATGTTTTATTACTCTTAAATGTTCTTTTATAAACTTCCAAAGAACCTACTTTTTATAATATAAATAAATAAATAATAATAATAATAATAATATAAAAAAAACAATAACAACAAATATTTAAGTCTTGTCAATACAAGTGGTGAAACAATCCAAAAGCAACTTCTATTTCTACTCTAATTCTTTGTCTACTATATTTTTTTTCCTTTAAATCTTTTATCTCATGACTCTTGGTCCCTTCTCTTTGTGCTTGTATGAACTTCTACCACATAAAGTCATCAAATGTGACATAAATAGCTTGTGGATGCATTGACTCAAACATTTCCACACAACAAACATAAAAACAAAACAAACAAACAAACAAAAAAACAAAACAAAACAATATGGGCAAAGATGTGCACAAATGTGCAACAGTGTAGAAAATGCAAAGCAATGTTGATAAGCATGTGTTGACGAGGAGAAACTAACGCATGGGTTGCACAGCATTGTACAATCGTGTGATTGATGTACAGTTGGAAGAGGTCGGTGTTAGATCTGTTGGTGTTCGACAAACATTGAACTACCCTCACAAAAGTGATGGAGTAGAGAACAACGTTTGTGAACAGCAGCCGTTATCAGAAGAAAACCCAGGCGGCTGACGTGGCAAGCGATGAAAGCAAGAAACAGCGAAAGGTCAGCGAAAAGAAACAAATTTGGACCATTTCTCGATTTGTGCGTGTCATCCTTGCGCAGGGGCCATGCTAATCTTCTCTGTATCGTTCCAATTTTATCAGATGTCTCCGAAGAAACATGTACCACTGCTCTTCCACCATCCCATATTACCCTCCAAGCATCCACCTTCAATCCATGTGGGTCAATACTTCGCACAACCTCTTCACTCACTCTCAGCAACGCATCCATTGCTCAAACGCCTCCATGCGCTGCCTGCACCAACTCAATTGGATGCGTGTGCTGCATCTTCAACATCGTTATTCCCCACCACAATCACATCGTGGAAGGACACGGTTTACCCTTCTTCTCCACCACACCAGATCACATCTTCACCCATGCTTGCCTTCTTTCCACGACACATTACCTTAACATTCCATACCACGTTTGCTTTCGTGGAAATAGCACCCTCGCCTGTTTGTTTGCGAGCACGGTACACATGGAGTAGGGGACCTGATCGACCACAATGTTTGTGAACAGCCGTGACGAAAAGAAGATCGACTTTGCAGACTGCGAAAGGAAGATTGAGTGACCCGGAAAGAGGGACGAAAAAATCTGGACCATTTCTCGATTTGTGCGTGTCATCCTTGCGCAGGGGCCATGCTAATCTTCTCTGTATCGTTCCAATTTTATCAGATGTCTCCGAAGAGACGAAAGAGCTCTCGGCGGCGCAACACAACATACTCGCCCAAACATCCACCTCCAATCCCTGTGGGTCAACTGCCTCTTTTCCGTCCCTCACGCCACCACTCACATCAACGCTTCCATCCGTGAAACGGGTTCATCCGCTGCACCGACTGGATACCTGCGTTGCCCTGCCTCTCCAACATTCCTGCTAGCCACCACGCCCAAATCGTGGAACGACACAAATTCCTCCTCCTTCCGCCCAACATGACATCATGTCTGCACACACGCTTGACTGCTTCACACAGGACAAAAACATACCACACCACACTCGCTTTCGTGAAAAATATCACCCTAGGCATGGACAAGCAAGTCACTACGAACAGCTCATCACTGCCATTGCAACCCCACCTTTGACACACATGCTCACAACCTCCACCTCAGAGTCTCGCAGCTGCACATTCAACGTGTGGTTACAGCGCCGCCACACACTCGGCTCACATGTTCTCGTCTTCACCTCACGCTTCACAATGCACTCGCGCTGGCCGTCGCTTCGCGCAGGAAATGCTCCAGCAAAAGACAACAACGCCATGGTGTCCACAGCACACGAATCTAGACTCCGTCACCACAACCATTCTGGACATGCACATCACGTTGCACACAAAGAGCGGCAAGGGTCAAGCACGCAACATGTCAAGCAGTGACACAACTCCAAACAAATGCCTGGCTCACCTCGCCTCGCCTCGCCTCAACTCAACTCAACTCACCTCACCTCACCTCACCTCAGTGCTGCCATTCGTCCCGCTCCACAGACCTGGTCAGTGCAGGAAACCGAGATGAAGAGTCCAGCACCCGAGCCATGTGTGCGCGGATGTGATGATCCCCACATCATGAAATTGGCAAATGTGATGGCCCCGAGTCCCTGCACTGAAGTGGAGTGCTGTGAAGTCCAGTTCAACCATCACTTGGCTGTGAGCAGCGACTGCAACCTCCACATCCTGTCGGAAGCTCCCACCCTCGGGCTTGCAACGCTCCTCAGCCCTCACCCGGGGCTCTGTTCATGGACCTGCCTGGCTTGCACAACCGCCGGAAGTACTTCACTGGTTGAGGCGTCCTGTGCGTTGACGGCGTCTTTGGTAATGCAGTAAAGTTGGAGCTCATTGGTATTGCAGTGAACACGCCGTTGGAGCTCATTGGTACGGGCTTCTGTCACCGACACGTTTACATTTGCTTCACCTGAAGTGGGCAGGAGCTTCCATTTCATTTTGTGGAATCAACGCTTGGCTTCCTTCACTTGCGAAGCCCCTGCCTAACCATGCAATCAGGGTCGTTAGACTTTTTGGCCCCGATTATGATCCCAACACTGCCTTGCATGGACCATGACCTCCGGAGCTGTGATTTATAGGTTCCCTTTACCACATATACTGAAATCGTCAGGGTTAAACCTGCCGCTCGAAGGGGCTGGTAGCAGAGCGAATTTGCATTTGGATAGTACTGCAATGCTTCTGTTACTGCAATAAAAAGCTTGCAAATGGCTTCATAAGCATACGGTCAGACAACCTCTGGATGTCAATAGCATGGTCGAGCCTTGCATATGCACTAAGTTAGTTAAATATCTTGGCCTTACGAGATTGTGTTAACATTCAATCTGTGCACACTCAGGCACTGTACACGTTCTAATAAATGTGAAATGAAGGGTACATGCACCTGAAATAGGTGCAAATTGGATGATATGGAAATTTGATATGGTTGTCCATTTGACAAGGATGAAGTCCTAACTAATGGATGGATGGCTGTGCCACCAACAAATCCTAATTCTACAAAAGTAGCACAGTTCAAGGCAAATTTATTTATTTGCAAACATTTAATGAACATAATCTTTGTATGTCACGAGCTTGTTGATAGAGATTGAATTTATTTTATCCTAATGATTTATTAAGCAAATCTGCAAGTTGATCATTAGTGTTGACATAATATAGTTTAATTTCACCTTCAAGCACCTATTCACAAATAAAAAATAATAATGAATTTTAATTTGTTTTATTCAAACATGAAATACTAGATTTTGTATTAGTGTAATCTCTCCTTGATTATCACAATACATTTTAATGTTGTTCGTAGTTTAGTCATCA